CTCCTCCTTCCTCCTCCTCCTCCTTCTCCTCCTCCTCCTCCTCCTCCTCCTCCTCCCTCCCCCCTCTCTTCTCCGCGTGTTTCTTGCCACGTGGAGCCCTCTCCAGGGCACTGGAAGCAGGTCCCCAGGATTTGTGTCCAACCCTCGGGGGACCTCGATCAGAAGTGCGTTTGGTGTGACTGCTCCACTTGCTCACTTATGGCCGTGTGTACAGCTTACAAATACGATTCGTCTGGAGTTCGCCTGCCCAAGTTGCGCGAGCGGGGCACAGGCCCTGGCTTCGATCCTCGAACGGGTATAAGCAAGTACAACCAGGCCAGTTGAAACAGAATCTGCATGGGTCTCCACCCCAAAGGGTCTGGAGTCACACTGCTTTTCTGACAGCTTCAGTCTGCATCGAAGCGCCGCGGGCGTGCTCAAAACAAATGCTACTTCTTCTCCTCCTCCTGCTCCTCCCTCCTCCGCCCTCCGTCCTTCCCGCTCCCTCTCTGCCGAGTGGCCTCGCCAGCGCGTCGCCCCGCCCCGCCGAGGTGCTCCATACAGTCTACCCGCATTGTAAAGATGGGCAACCTTCCGAAGGGTGCCCCTGCATCAGGTCCCTTCGGCCCACCCCTGGCCGCTTTCGCTGTCCGCGCCCCGCCCCCGAAGCGTCGACATGGCCTTCCAGGGCCCTTGCATCATTACCGCGCATCATTCTGACACGGGTCGGCTGTGGGGGACAGCGAGGCGCCCGCCCCCTGCCCCCCCGCTTCTGCGCTGCATCGGCGCTGCGGGCGGGCAGGGCGGCGCACCCCGCTCTTACCCTTGGCGTCCCTGGGAGAGCGCCAGCCAACCGACCCTGAGATCCGACGCAGCGACAAAACTGACACAACGCTCAGAAAACACGCCCGGAGTCCCGCACCCCAGCTTTCTGCAACTCCTTTGCGCCGCAGCGATCTGTGAGGGCCCCAGGGCCCGAGGATTGGCGACAGCGCCCAGCTCGAAGAGCTGAAGACGCCAGGATCTCAGGCAAGGATCGTTTTTTGGACCTGCGGGAACGAGCGCGCGCGCGGCCGCGAGCGCCGGGCCGCGGCCGGCCTCAGCCCGCAGCCTCGGGCAATTCTGCGCGGCGCGCTGCGCTGCAGAAGGCGTACGGTAAATCCGCCGCGCTGCCCTTAGCGAAGTGCAGCTTCGCCGAAGGATTCGACGACGACGACGACGACGACGACGACGACGACGACGGCGGCGGAAGCGGCATTTCCGCGCGCAGGTAAGCGGTCCGCCCACCCCAGGCATGCACTCTCCAATATCGTCGCCGTCGTCGGCGTGCAGACACTGTCAACGATCTGCACACAGCCTGCTGTCATGCCGCGTTCCACAGACCAGCCTCCCTTCCCTCGCCCTCTTCGACCATCTCGAATAGTGATTGGCGCGCTCCGCACGCCAGGGAAGTGGAGGTTCCAGCGCCGACCCAAGAAACACGCACGGACCTCGGAGAGACAGACAATGTTTGTGGCGACGTTTCATCCTCCATCATGCCACCCCCCTCCCTTTCTTTCTGCCTCCCCTGCGCGCCCAGGTGCTGGGCGCAGCGCGTTAGCGAGATCGACAAGGAAGCCGTGCTGCACGCCAGGTTCCAGGCCATGCAGAAGTACGCCGGCGGCATCTGGGGCAACGTGTCGAGCGGCGACCAGATGCTCCTCCCGCCAGAGTACTTCGACTCGCGCTACAACCGGGAGCTCCCGGCCCCCCCGGCCCCGGGCAGCGACAGCGAAGTCCCTCGCACGCGCAGTGCGCGCCGACCCTGGCCGGGCCCGGGCTGGGCCCCGGGCCCCGTGGCCGAGCCTCCCGGGCCAGTCCGGCAGGGCGTGCGCGTCGATCCTGCGCCCCGGCTGGCTCGAGGTCGTCCCCGCCGGTGGTCCTCCCGCGCCCCGCGAGGTCGGGGCCACCGCTCCCCAGTAGGAAGAGGAGGGAGGAGGGAGGGAGGGAGGGAGGAGGGAGGGAGGGAGGGAGGGAGGGAGGGAGGAGGAGGGAGGAGGAGGAGGAGGAGGAGGAGGAGGAGAGGAGGGAGGAGGAGGAGGAGGGAGGAGGAGGAGGAGGAGGAGGAGGAGGAGGAGGAGGAGGGAGGAGGAGGAGGAGGAGGAGGAGGAGGAGGAGGAGGAGGAGGAGGAGGAGGAGGAGGAGAGGAGGAGGAGGAGGAGGAGGAGGAGGAGGAGGGAGGGAGGGAGGGAGGGAGGGAGGGAGGGAGGGAGGGAGGGAGGGGGGAGGGAGGGGAGGGAGGGAGGGAGGGAGGGAGGGAGGGAGGGAGGGAGGGAGGGAGGGAGGGAGGGAGGGAGGGAGGGAGGGAGGGAGGGAGGGAGGGAGGGAGGGGGGAGGAGGAGGAGGAGGTGGAGGAGGAGGAGGAGGAGGAGGAGGAGGAGGAGGAGGAGGAGGAGGAGGAGGAGGAGGAGGAGGGAGGAGGGAGGAGGGAGGAGGGAGGAGGGAGGAGGGAGGAGGAGAGGAGGAGGAGGAGGAGGAGGAGGAGGAGGAGGAGGAGGAGGGGGAGGGGAGGGAGGGAGGGAGGGAGGGAGGGAGGGAGGGAGGGAGGGAGGGAGGGAGGGAGGAGGGAGGGAGGGAGGGAGGGAGGGTGGAGGAGGAGGAGGAGGGAGGAGGAGGAGGGAGGAGGGCAAGGATGGCGACGCGTCGCTTTCGACGCCGCCGCCGCCGTCGTCGATGCAGCCGCCGTCGCCGCCGCCGACGCCGCGCTCCCTCAACCAGCGGCCGCGATCGTCAGATCGGGCGGCGTCGCAGAGGGTTTGTGGGGATTCAGTACGCCACATCATCCGACCCCTTTATTGTAATTCTTTCCCCATGGTCTTTCTGGTACGTCCGCGGAGCGTCGCTTTTGCTTCCTGGGTGCGTCTTGGGCTTCCTCGAGCTTCTTGGAGGCCTTTTGGCTGCCGCCTGTCGCCGTCGCGCCTTCCTCGTCGTCGTCGTCGCCGCCGCGCGGTCGTCGTCGTCCTCCTCCTCCTCCTCCTCCTCCTCCTCATCCTCCTCCTAGGGCTCTAGGTCGAGCCTCGGGGACACCGACGACGACGGCGTCGGCGACTGCGACGGCGACGCACTGAAGCATGGTTTGTGGTCGGACGGCTTGGCGTGAACTAGTGACTTCCGAGCACCTTGCAGGGTGCTCGTTGAACCCGTCGGTTCCGTCGAGCCCTCGCTCTAAGGGGTGCCGGTTGAACCAGTGGATCCGAGGACCCGAACGGGTGCTCGTTGAAGCACGGGTTCCGGGGATCCAGACACGTCCCACAAGGCGTCCAAGACGGCCCCGAGGCCTCTTGGGGCGTCTTGGAGGCATTTTGGGCCGTCTTGAGATCATCTTGGGCGTTATGGAACGATCGTTCGGCGACTCGGGGCCCTCTTGGACAGTCTTGGTGGCCTCTTGGGACGCCTCAGGGGCTGTCTTGGAGCTCCAAAGGGAGCCCAGGGAGGGCCAGACCCCCCCTGATGAGTTCGGCGGGGGGTCGTCCGGGGCCTGGAGGGTGGTACATCTCCCTGTTTGGGATCCTCTGGTGGGGGACTATGGGGGGGTGGGAATCTCACACGCCGAGAGACCCACAAGGGCTCAGCAGATTTGGCGAGGCCCGAAAGGAAATCCGTTTTTCACGCAAGTCGGGACTCACTTACATGCCTACTCGGCCCAGCGTTGGTTGGAATGGCGGCGGAGGGGAAACCGAGCTGGCGAAGCCCCCGAGTGATCGGCACCAGCACCGTAGGGGTCGGCCGTTGTCTGGTGCCTTGCCACCTGCCTTGCCACGCTGCCTGTCTTCTCAACGTCGTCCTACGGGCTTATGTATAGGCCAACCTCCAGGGGAGTGGTGCCGCTCGAAGTCTGGTTCGTGGACGCTCCCTCGTTCTCAGCCACGAGGTGGCGCTCTCTCCGCTCGTTTGTCTTGGCCCCTCTCCTTGAGCGAAGATGTGGTTCCCATCGCGAGGAGCTCGTCTTTCCTGCGTGCGCTCCTCCTCCAGCCCCTCCCCGCCCCTCCCTCTCCCCCTGCACGGAAAGAGAGACGGCATGAGACACACGCGTTCGGAGGCCTGTGCGGATTTCTTGGGTAGGCGCTGGCCCAGGGAAGCCGCGCGCACCTCCGAACTTTTCTGCTTGCATGGCTGCCCTCATCCTTTTCCTCCTTTCCGTCACAGTCATAATCCACTCAAGTCTGTCCCTGGTCCCCTCCTGGGTCCCATCCTGGCCAATCGTTTTACCTTGGGCCCCCAGTTGCCGAAATGTCAAGCAGTCTTCCCCCCCGCCCTCGTCGTCCTCCTCGCCCTCGTCCTCCTCCGTTTTGTTGTTTTGTTGTTTTATGTGGTTGTTGTCTGATTGTTACTTAGTCTCCTCCTATTTCGGGCTCCTCGCCCTTCTTGCCCTCCTCCGTCTCGCCCTCCTGGCTTCTTGCACTCCTCGTCCTTCAGGCTCATCCTCGTCTTCGTTCCTCGTTCCTCCCCCCCCCCCTTCTCGTCCCTCCTTCCTCGCTCCTCTTCCCTGCTTCCTCGCTCCTCGTCCTCGTTCCTCGTCCCCCCTCCCCTCTTTCTCCTTCTCGCTCCTCGCCCCTCCTTCCTCGTCTGCCTCCCCGCCGTTTTCCCAGATGTCTGGCCGTGCTTGCTTCACCCCCCGCGGCCCGGGAGCCTGGGACCCCTTCACACTGTGGACCTTCTCGTCACCCCAGACCTATTTTTCGGTGCGCCCGGGCCCCGAAAAAACGCCCCGGAAGGCCGCAGTGAGGGAAAAGCCGCCGCGTTCGAAACGATCACAGCATCGGCCAGCCACCCGCAGAGGGGAGTAGGGGGAGGGGGGAAGGCTTCTCAGAGGGAGCCTGCTTCTTAGAAGGCGCGGGCCTCATCTATAGATGTAGTGCCAGCCGTCTGAGAAGCAGCCTCCTTCTGAAAAGCCTTCCCCCCTCCCCCTATACCCCCTGTGCGCGCCGCCAAATCGGAGGCCCGGGCTCCTCGGACGACCCCCCGAGGAGTTCCTGGAGGAGTTCTGGGCGGCCTGGCAGAAGCAGGAGGCGAACGCCACGACGCGCAGGTCGCTGGCCCAGGTCTTCGCTCGCGGCAGCGGCTCCACGCCAAAGCCTTCTAAGGACCCGTGGTGTGGGCCTGCCCGGGGAGGGGGAGGAGGAGGAAGAGATTTCGGAGGCTCTCGTCTGTCCTTTTCTTCGAGGTTTTCGGATCTCGATGCGTCCATCCAGGAGTACCCGGATCCTCCCGACCAGCATCGCCAGGGACCCGTCCACGTTAGGGCCCGAAAACCGAGTGGCCCATCAAAGGAGGGCCAGCCGCGACGATGGCGGTCCGCCCCGGCGGTTCTCCTCTTCGCGAGGCTTCTCGCGTGGCCGCGGCGGGGCCCGCCCCGAAACGCTGGTCAGGGTGGAGCCCACGGGAGGGGACCGATCTTGAGCGGATGTGGGCCGGGCGGGGCAGCCGCCGTTGTGGTAGGCCTCCCAGGTGGGGTCCGAGCTGACGGGGTCGGAGGATCGCGCCGCCATGCCGATGCAGCACCAGCGCATCGGCGATGCATCGGCAGCGTCGGCGATGCATCGGCTACGTTGGCGTGGGATTGAATCAGAAGCGCGGCGGCGAGCCCAGGGGGGCGAGAGACGGGGCGGGCCTTCTCGGGAGGCTCGGAAGTCCCCCTGGCCTTCTGAGAAGTTTTCTGAGCCCTCCCCGAAGACACGGAAAAAACTTCTCGGGAGGCGCGAGGGTTTCTGAGAAGTGCCGCCGCCTTCTGAGAAGGCCTTCTTCTTCTCACTTCCCCCCTAGCCCGCCGCCGAAAAACAGGAGGAGCACGCGCAGGATACGAGACTGCTCGGAATGAGCGGCTGCTCCTGGGGAAGGGAGTTCAGGCCCTCAGGGAGCCCAGGCACATGCCAGGGGGGTCACCACCAGGGGGCTCTCGCCACCTCCTCAAGGAAACAGACCCCTGGGCCAAACAGACGCCCCTCTCCCGGAATACCAGAGACGCCCACACACACACACACACACACACACCCACGCGCGCGCGCGCGCACACGCACACGCACACGCACACGCACACGCACACGCACACGCACACGCACACGCACGCACACGCACACGCACACGCACGCGCACGCACACGCACACGCACACGCACACGCACACGCACACGCACACGCACACGCACACGCACACGCACACGCACACACGCACACGCACACGCACACGCACACGCACACGCACACGCACACGCACACGCACACGCACACGCACACGCACACGCACACGCACACGCACACGCACACGCACACGCACACGCACACGCACACGCACACGCACACGCACACGCACACCCACACACACACACACACACGCACACGCACACGCACACGCACACGCACACACGCACACGCACACGCAAACGCACACACAGAGACACAGAGACACACACACACAGACACCCACCCACACACACACACACATGCACCCGCACACACCCGCACACACCCGCACACGCACAAACACAAACACACACACACACACACACGTACACACACTTACATACACACACACACACTTTTTGGCGTTGCGGTTCTGCGCGGGGCGTCAGGGCGTTAAAATCACGCACACACACAGACACACACGCGCGCGCACCACACACATGCACAAGTGCACCACACACACACACACACACACACACACACACGCGCACCACCCACATACGCAAACACCCACGCACACACGCAGTTTTTTTCGGGGTGCCTGGGCCACGCGCGCGGCGGCGCGGTGTGATCAGAACAGATTGAGCTAGCGCGCGGGCTGGCCCAGGTTACGCACACACACACACATCTTTTGGCGGTCGCGGCCTCGCGCGCAGCGTCGAGGCGGAGAAGACACACAGACACACACACATTTTGGGATCGTGGCCTCGCGCGCAGCGTCAAGGCGGAGCAAGTCGCAAAGAGACCGAAGACCAGAGAGAGAGAGAGAGAGACACACACACACACACACGCACGCACGCACGCACACACACACACACACACGCGCGCGCACTCTTTGGGCGATCGCGGCCTCGCGCGCAGCGACGAGGCGGAGCAAAACACACACACACACACAAAGTCACACGCGCCGCACACACAAACACAAACACAAACACACACACACACACACGCGCGCACACACAAACACCCTCACAAACACAAAAACACACACACACACACACTTTTTGGGCGTCGCGGGCACGCTCGCGGCGGCGCGGCGTAGGGCGAATCCATACACACTCACACCAAACTTGGTTCGGTCCTCGCCCCTCGATCCTTGGGGCCCCCCAGCGCTGCTCGAGCAGCCGCGCTTCGACAGAGCATCACAACGCCGGCTGCCTGGCCAGAGGGTCCGAGGGGTTCGTCGCGGGTGCACCGCGAAGGGCCCCCATGACATAAACGAAAACAATCGGATGCATTTTGTTGGAGGTCTAATTCTGACTTCGCCCTGGTTTGGAATCTGGCATGATCGGGCTCAATCCGGCTTGATCCGGCTTTCTCCCGCATAATCTGGCTGCATCCCGTTGAATCCGCTGCCCAATCGGGCGTAACAGCCCCCTAATGGGGCCTAATCCTCCTTAACCCTTCCGACGAACACCTCCCAGTAGTTGCCTCCTAATATCAAAACTCGAAGGTCCCCGCGGACTCTCGGATCGGCGCTGGGGCATCCCTGGCGGCGCCTCCAGCACCGATCCGAGAGATACACGTAAAAAACATAATACCCAAGTGCATTTGGCAATTTGCCGCGATACGAAGGGGGCAGGACGCCACGTGTCGGGCCGTGCGATGACAGACTTGCAACATCTAGGAGGGTGCACGAATGCCAATGGGAGCAGCAGACGCGAGGGCAAGGCTAGGATCCGGGCGGGCTGCGTTGGATGGGCGAATCTTCAGAAATACTGGTTTGCCCCCAGACCGTGGCGTAGCAAGCGTAATCAGAGTGAGGGAGTCGAACTGTCATTCATTGTCCCTGGGTGCGTGGCTGAAGTGGAAATCCGTGGTGAGGGTTCTGTTGTTGCGTTGTTGTTGTTGCTGTTGTTGGTGTTGGTGTTGTGGTTGTTGTTGTTGTTGTTGTTGTTGTTGTTGTTGTTGTGGTTGCTGCTGCTGCTGCTGTTGTTGTTGTTGTCGTTGTTGTTGTTGTTGCTGTTGTTGTTGTGGTTGTTGTTGTTGTTGTGGTTGCTGCTGCTGTTGTTGTTGTTGATGTTGTTGTTGTTGTTGTTGTTGTTGCTGCTGTTGTTGTTGTTGTTGTTGTTGTTGTTGTTGTTGTTGTTTGTTTTCCAGTGCTTATGTTGGTGTTGTTTGCTGTCGTCGTCCCCCCCGCGACCCACCCCGCGACCCACCCGCGAGCCCATCCGCGACCCATCCGCGACCCACCCGCGACCCACCCACGACCCACTTGCGACCTACCCCGCGACCCATCCCGCGACACCCCCGCGACCCACTTGCGACCGATCCACATTGGTTTGAAGAAAAATCCGGCGTCTGCGGCGAATTCGTTGTACGTAGCACCCCGCAGATGCGGAGAAGAGTCAGGGGGCGGTGGACTCTGGAGAAGCCCGCCGCAGGCGCCAAAGTTTCACAAATTATGCAACGAACCCGCCGCAGGCGCCGGTTTTTTCCTCAAGCCAATGTGGATCGGTCGCAAGTGGGTCGCGGTTGGGTCGCTGGTGGGTCGCGGGATGGGTCGCGGGTGGGTCGCAAATGGGTCGCGGGTGGGTCGCGGGTGGGTCGCGGATGGGTCGCGGCGTGGGTCGCAGGTGGGTCGCCAGCGCCTTGCTACGCCGATGCGAGACCGCCAGTGGAACCCCAGCAAAGGGTAAAGCACAAGGAAGTATCGAACGAAAGGATTGCCTTTGTGGGTATGGGGGCTGTCGGCGGTGAGGCAAGGACCTGGCCCTGAAAAGAAACAGAGGAAATCTCGAGCAGGGCTGCTGTTGTTGTTGGGAGCGGCGCCAATGCTGAAGAGAGTAGGGCGCTAGTCCAGCGTAAAACAAAACGAAGTCTCGAGCGGGAACGCTGGTTTTGTTGGGACGGCGGCTTTCGGCGGCGAGGAGGAACACCGCCTTGAGTAAGAAGGGAGGAAGCATCGAGCGGAAGCCGTGGTTTGTCGGGACGGGGGCTGTCGGCGGCGAGGAACAGTACCGTCCCGAGAAAAAAGAGATGAAATCTCGAGCGGGAGCGTTGTTCTTGCTGGGAGCGGCGCCAATTCAAAAGGGAGTTGGGCGCCGCTCCAGCGTAAAACGGAAGGAAGTCTCGGGCGGGAGCGCTGGTATTGTCGGGGCGGCGGCTTTCGGCGGCGAGGAGGAGCACCGCCTTGAGTAAGAAGGGGAAAAGCATCGAGCGGGAGCCGTGGTTTTGTCGGGACGGGGGTTGTCGGCGGCGAGGAACAGCACCGTCTTCAGGAGAAAAGGAGACAGCCTCGAGCGGGAGCGTTGTTCTTGCTGGGAGCGGTGCCAATTTAAAAGAGAGTTGGGTGCCGCTCCAGCGTAAAACGTAAGGAAGTCTCGGGCGGGAGCGCTGGTTTTGTCGGGGCGACGGTTTTCGGCGGCGAGGAGGAGCACCGCCTTGAGTAAGAAGGGAGGAAGCCTCGAGCGGGAGCGTTGTTTTTGCTGGGGGCGGCGCCGATGAGAGAAAGACTAGCGCGCCAGTCCAAGGTACAACGGGAGGACTTCTCGAGCGGGAGCGCTGGTTTTGTTAGGACGGCGGCTTTCGGCGGCGAGGAAGAACACCAGCCCTGAGTAAAAAAGGAGGAAGCCTCGAGCGGGAGCGTTGTTGTTTTTGTTGTTTTTGTTGTTGTTGTTGTTGTTGTTGCTGCTGTTGTTGTTGTTGAACATTATTTATTCTAAAGAATAATTATTGTTGGGACCCCTGGTGCGCGACCCCCTCGCCGCGCCTAGGCCGCAGCTACATTTTCATCATTTTCGTGAGGAAGCCTCAGGTAATACGATGTCATCAAGATCCGGTTGTTTTGTTCCCCCCCGCTGTCCCTTGCAAAAAACACTATAAAATGAAATTTCTTGTTCTAAAATAACCAAACTTCAAGAATCCCTTGCAAAAAATAAGGTAAAGTGGACATTCGCGCGCGCAAGACGAAATCCTTCCAAAACCTTAGTGTTCGTAGCGATTTCAACATAAAAACATCAAAAAACCAATGTTTTTTTTTTTTAAAAAAAAAGTGTCACAATTTCATCCCGCGCGCTCTTGCGGATTTGCAGGAAACCCAACTTTTTTAAAACATTTCTGTCAAACGGGCTTTTGCGATCAACTTCTTCACGTGCTTCGAACTTCTCCAACAACGGTTGCGCACCTGCCAGGGCCATCATCCCTGTCAAATAATACCATGCGGGACACATTCGTTTTTTCTTTCCGTGCGCACGCCGAAATCTTCAAAAACCATTGGGTTTCGTAGGAATTTTAGCACCGCGCAACATAAAATCATTTTTCGCACCGTAGGCCCTTCAAATCGTCGTCGTCGTATACTAAGCTAGTTTCCACAAGATGTTACCACAAGAAGTCATTGAAACCATGCGCCAGTGTAGTAGCCACGGTCGTCCGCATGCCACGAAGTGAAGTGTCCGAACGTCATAGGGCGGGAAGCTGGGTGTGGGTGGTGGCGAAGAGTCGTTTGGAAATGTGGTAGAGCTTGAACCGGCCCCCCCACAAAGTGGGGGTATTGGCGGGCGTCGTATGAAAACCCTGGCACTGGTGAGAACACTGAGCGTTCGGGTAAAATGATTGTTGTTGTTGTTGTTGTTGTTGTTGTTGTTGTTGTTGGGGGGCCGGTTTGGGCGGTCCTCCACACCGCTCGAGCGTGAGCCTAATTTTCAATGGACATGTAGCCGGCGCCTCGGCGAGAGCGCCAAAGCGGTGTCCAACAATAGTAACTGTTTAGTGATTCAACAACATCTACAACTACAACAACACCAGCACCAGCAACAACAACGCAACAGGCAAAATCCTCACCACGGATTTCCACTTTAACCACGCACCCAGGGATAATGAATGTCCGCTCGGCCCCCTCACTCTGATAATGTGTTTAACTGTGCTGCCTGCGGCGGGCTTCTCCAGAGTCTCGCAGACTGCCGACGTCCCCACCGCCCCCTCACTCTTATCCGCATCTGCGGGGTGCTACGTATTTTTGTTGGCGAAAGTGGCAGGGGCCGCGTGGTCGGGGCTGGAGCCCTGCGTGTTGCGAGCAAGCCAGGTCAAGATGCTAGACGAGACCCTGGCCAAGAAACTTCGAGGGATGTCCATGGGCGCGCTCATCAGGAGGGGGACGATGGCACTCGCCGCTCGATGACCAGGTTTTCGCTGACTGGGATATCCCCCATACAGTAGTGGCACTCTTGGTGCGGAGGCTGGGGTGGTGGCAGCCGATTGTAAGGGATCCCGAGCACCACCGTCACTTCCTGAGCGCTTTCTTTGGAGAATGTACGTTCGAGACACGAGCTAGGGAGGTGGGCAAGGCTGCGCCCGTCCCGGCGCTGCTAGAGGACGGAAAATTGAACCCCGACGAAGGCGCACACCGTTGGGTTAGACAATTCTATACAGACGATCATGTCCCACCCAGTGGGAGAGGAATTGAGGGAGCGAATGCAACCACCGACCTTGGCGACCTTCTTCGGCGACCCCGATGTGACGGATGCGTTTCGATATTGCGGCCTCCTGGCCTTGCGTTCGACGGTGCGGGGACAGGAGTTGGCCCCTCCAGAGCACTCCTGCGAGCAGGACCGACAGTGACGAAGAGGCTTTTCACCCCTTGGTGTGTGGGCTGGGGGCGTGCAGGGCTAGGTTTGCGACTTTGCGGGGTCTGGTAAAACACCAGGTCAATGCGACGACACTGCCAGGGCACGGTGCACCGCCTATCCTATCACAACTACGCGTGGATAACATATGCATTTCCTGTGGCACTGTTTTTAGTTGCATCAAGCACGCCAGGAGGCATTCGAGCAGAGCGTGGTTTTCAAACACCGTCTGTCAGCACACAGTGCCCCCTGATGGAGTGGTCTGACCAAGCCGCATGCCAGTTGCATTGCGACAGCCCCGACGCCCTCCGAGCGCATCTGGCGACCCACGTCCCCCCCACTCCGTCGGGCTCTCGGCTCAAGGCGGCACCGACTGGGATCGCCCACAGTCCGAGCGTCGGCGCGGGGGAGCACCGGGCGCTTGCACCGCCAGCCCCAGCACGAACGTGGCGCCCGTGCGACGCGTCTGAGGATCGAGAGCGGCTCCGACGGGCCCACCGCGCCCTTCGAGAGCACCGACCTCCCCGCCTTGACAAGGGCCCGTCGGACCCAAACGCACTACTGCGGCTCGGCCGCGTTCAGTCTCGGCGTGGCCCGAAGTGCCAGCCAGTACGTACATCGACCCGTTCCACTGCCAGGCCGTGCGCGGCGAGCACGCCGACATTGAGACCGACTTCGATTGACCATGACGTCAGCGGCATCAGCCACCCCGCAGGCGGCCCGCGCGAGCTGGCGCCTCCCCCAGGCATCCTCCCCTGCGTCTGGGAATTCTGGCAAAGACACGAGGAAAGGAGAGGACCACGAGCAAAAGGGGGCGAAGAGCGCGTTGAAGCAGGACCACGACGCCTATACGACCATCCGGGAAGGCGCGGCCCCTCACAGGGAGGAGGACGGCAAGGACAAGAAGGGGACGGGCAGGGGAAAACGCAAGCCCCACCGCGGCGGCCGCCGTCACAGAAACACTGGACGTCCAAAGACGCGAATTTGAAGTCCTGCCTCCAGACCCTCGTCATGCTCACGCTCCAGAACACGCAGCAGCTGAGGTTGGTCAAGAGCACCGTGCTGGATACGCTCACCATGCCGGAGCAACCCCGTGTTGCAGTAGCTGCAGAAAATGATCGACGAATGCAAAAACCGTGGCCACGGCAAGGGACGAGGGCGCGGAGGCGCTCTGGCTCTAGGGCCTCACAGTCACGCTCCTCGAGGCCCTGATGACATGCGACATCGGGGGCGCCCTGAAGCAGGAGATACAGGGCTACCGCGCGAAGGTGCAGCCCATGGTTGGCGACGCCACGGTGACCAAGCACGACCTCGAGCTGGACATCCAAGCCGTGAAGGTGGAGCCTTGCTTCGACGGCACTACGGGAAAGCCCATGCTGGCCGCGCCCCATCGGCCCATGTGCGGGGCCGTGACGAGGGCGTTCATGGCCGAGGGAGTGGCGACCCGCCACGCGGGGCCGGCCCCTCCTGGCTGGCTCGAGGACGAGGCGGCGTCTTGGTTGGAGTGCTTCCGCTAGCGGGTGAGGGCAGCGCAGATCGTCCAATATGTCCTTCGTGCGCGGCCGGACGATGGAATCTACGATAGGGCAGAATGCTCCACGATACGGTAGGGCGTCGGACGGATCCCGATGGGTGCACGCTAGAGTCGTAGACGAGACGTGGACGCAGTGCGCGTAATATCCAATTCGTAGCCAATTGCTTGTTCTGTTGCCGAGCCAGCACCGATGAGCCAGTGAGCGAAAGAACCTTGGGTCGCGACGATTCGCTGAATTTTGCAACGGTCCCTAGGCGATGCGTATCAGCGCAGCTGAGTATATGGCAAGGGACCCCGAGCGTTGCGTTTCAGCTCATCTCGTTGTTGGCAGTGCAGCCTCGGGGTGCCGAGTCTCACGTTTTCATGCGTTTTCCCCTTCCGCTCGCGAGCCCACGCTGGCTGAGCCAGCACCTCGCGTGCATAGCCGGATGCAGTTGCATGGGTGCATAGCGCGCTGGCGACCGGCTTACTGGGACCTTATAGATTACCTCTTTGTTGCTCACCAGTGGATCAGCATCCTCGAAGTCGATGAGCAGCAGCAGCTCCTCCTCCTCCGCCGCCGCCGCCGCCTCCTCCTCCTCCTCCGTTTCCTCCTCCAACGGCGGATCGCCTTGGAGGGGCAGCGCGAGCCCCGCTCGTTAGGCCAGTCGGGCTTCGTAGCGGCTCCATATGGAAGGAATGTCGCGAAGACGACGCTCAGATATCAAGCGAGTCCCACGGCTGGTGGTGTGACGAGTAGACCTCCAGGAACCACCTGACCTGACCTGACGTCCTTCCCCCTGGCGAGGGGACGTTCGCTCCTCCCCCCTGGCGCCGGTACGGTTTCATGGTCAATTCGTATCGCTCCTCGCCCTATTCCTGACGCCCGCGGTGGACGGAGTGACGTGCCCGTCAGCAAGGCGACCGTGTCCCGTCCAAAAAACGACAGCAACAAAAACAAAATAAACACCCGAAACCCTCGCGAGGCGTGGCGGCGTCCAGGGGTCCTGCACTGGATGGGGACCCAGGAAATTTATCAAAAGAGGGGGTCTAAATCAGTCCCCGGACCCCTCCTAGGAGTCCACCTGGTGCAGATTTTCTCCCTGGATCTGTTTCTGACGGTCCCGGCTCCCGAGAACGGCCCCCAGAGGCCGAAAGGGGCAAGCGACTTTCTCGAACCCAGAACCTCGAAGTTGTTCTTCCCCTTTTTGCTGGCGCTGGCCGGAACCAGTGCTAGGCCACCTTGGACCCCAGCCGGCTCCATGCATCGATGCCCTGCCCTCTAGATCTGAGCACCCCGAGGATCAAAGCACAATATGGTTCGACGCCACTCTTAATGCCACGTTCAGTCGGGGATTGGGGAGCCGCAGAGGTCTGCTTGGACCTCACCTGTCAGACATGGCTGCATGATGATTATCAGCCGCCGCCAAACCCCAATCAATCAACCATGTAGTCAAGAGAGCGTTTTTCAGTATCCGTCTCGATAGGGGCTTTACCGGGGGGGGGGGGGGCGAGGGGGGAGTGGGGCCAGTAACGTCACGTTTCGCGCCTGTGCCGTGTGCGAATGTTTCAGAAAAGCCGAGGCATCAGCACGAATCGTGACGGCACCTGGAGGGGATGGGGGCGGAAGGGGGCGGCCCGGGCCGGTAACGGCCGCTATCGCGAACAATCGAAGACGGCGCCCTATAGGGCTTGACGACTCTCCGCCTATCGACCTGTGGGAATCAGGCCGGATATATGTCAGGGCAGATGCACATATGTCAAGGTGAGCCCATGTCGGCGACGCAACAAAAACAAAAAGGGGCCGTCTTCGCCGACATTGGCGAGTAAGTTGCTCGCGTAAGGTCGCCCGTAAGCGCCCTCGGCGCCGATGCAGCGTGCCGCGCTGGCGTCCCGCGTAAGCCACCGCGTAAGGTACCGGTGGCATCTCGCGTATGACCTTTCTTCTGATCGTCACCCATGAATATCCCGATAAACCCAGGTGAACCCAGGCAAATCCACGAACAGTGCGTCCACCAATCAACCAACCAGCCATGGCCCGAGAACATCAGACTCCCAGTCGGGCCCATGCGGCCGTTGCGCCCTCCCCTCCGGGCCGCCCAGCCCCCGGCATTGCTGGCAGGACGGCGGCGAGCGCGCTTGGACCGTGCAGTCGTCCACCAACCTGGGTCTCAGCCTCATGCACCGCATAGGCCAATAGCTGACGATGGTGTTGATGATGGTGGTGCTGTTGCTGCTGATGATGGTGGTGTTCGTCGTCATAATGATCATGGTCATGGTCATGATGATGGTGGTGACGATGACGCCGACGACGACGGCGAGGATGAGGGCGAGGATGATGATGATGATGATGATGATGATGATGATGATGATGATAACGATGGTGATGATGATGATGCTTACTACGATTGTGGTGATGGTGATCATGATCGTGATTGTAGTGATGCTGCTGTTGATGGTGATGGTCTTGATGTTGTCGATGATGATGATGATGATGATGATGATGATGATGATGATGATGATGGTGATCATGATGATGCCGATGAGCATGATCATGATGGTGACGCTGTTGATTGTGATGTTGATGATGGTGATGTTGATGGTGATGATGCTGATTCGGAATATGTTGATGAAACTTATCATGATCAGGATGGGCAAGTCGGGCATGCTGGTGACGTCTTTGATGATGGTGCTGATGAGGAGGAGGAGGAGGAACAGGAGAAGGGTGATGATGATGATTGTGACGATTGTGACGATTATGATGATGATGATGATGATGATGATGATGATGATGATGATGATGATGATGATGCTGATGCTGATGCTGATGCTGCTGCTGCTGCTGCTGCTGCTGCTGCTGCTGAAGATGATCTTTGTCATGATGATGTCTGCTCCTGCGCTGCCGAAATATCCAGCGCCCCCCCCGGGCGTCGCGGGCCGCCGCCCCAGGACTCCGACGACGTGTGTTTTTCGTCGGAGCGAAAGGAGGAAGAGGTGTCGGAGGAGGAGGAGAGGGAGGAGGAGGAGGAGGGCAGGAGGAGGAGGAGGGCAGGAGGAGAAAGAGGACGATAATGCTCCACGATGTTGCATCAAGTCCGCGCAACGTCAAAAGGAGGACGAGGAGGAGGAGGACGAGAAGGAGGAGGAGGAGGAGGAGGAGGAGGATGTGGAGGAGGAGGATGAGGAGGAGGAGGAAGAGGAGGAAGATGAGGGAGTGACGATGGAAGAAGTGAAACGGAGATCCCCCCCCACGGGGAAGTCGGTTTCGGTTCCGTGCCCGTCCGTGCGGGCGGGGCGAGTCGAAGTTGCGCGAGCAGGGCGAGAGGCGCGATCCCGCCGCTGCCGGGGCTGAGTCGGAGCAAGAGACTCCCCATCCCGTCCGGTTGGCGGAGTCGGCCCGCGGTTGTCCCGCGGTGATCTCGATGGTTGTTGTGTGGTTGTCCCGATGGTTGTCCCGACGGTTGCCCTGTGGTTGTCCCGATGGTTATCCCGCTGGCTTTCCCGCTGGTTATTCCAATGGTTGTCACGATGGTTGTCCCGATGGTAGGTTGATTGATTGATAGTGTGATCTCTGCCACCCCCCGCCCCCCCACTGTCCGCGGTCCCCTGGCCTGGGAGGCGGCAGAGCGCTCCCGTGACAGGCGGTGGTGCACCTCGCTGGGACGTGAGGGGTCGCCTGGAGGGTCGCTCGCGGATGGGGGTCAAGGGACCGTGAGGGGGGTAGCCCGGGCTGTTCAGGTCGGCTAGCCAGACAACAGCGATGGCCGATAGAGAGAGAGAGAGGAAAAACGGGCTTAACCCAGTCGTGTCAGCCCTCTCGGGCTCAGTTCCGCCCCCTCTCTCCAATGTGCTCCGCCAGTCCCGCATGCCTTAACATCTGTACTTAAACATGTGAGTATGTATGCATGGACGCGTGCATGCACGCATGCATGCATGCAGGCATGTGTGTAGGTAGATAGATAACTAGTAGGTCGGCATGTGTGCATGCATATATGGAATGTAGTGTAGTGCCGTGGAATGGAATGTGTTGTAGTGCAATGGCATGTACGATAATGTATTGTAGTGCAATACGAGGCGATGCAATGGCAATTAATACAGCGCAGTGCAATGTAACGTAAGGTAATGTAACGTAAGGTAATGTACAGTCTGCAGGTGGTTATGTATGTTTGTGTGCGTGAGTGTAAACACATATGTTTGTAGTCATGCAAGTGCGCATGTATGTATGCGTGCGTGCGCATGTTGAACTGTATTTGCACGTATATGCATATATCTGTGTATATATATATATGTATGCAAGCTTGCCTGCATGCATGCAATCATGGGGTTATGTATGTGTCTATGTATATATGTATGTATGTGCTCACAGTTGTATGGATGTATGGATGTGTGTATGTATGGTTGTATGCTGATATTGAGTTCGTGTGTGTGCTTGTGTGTCTGTATGTGCGTGTATGTATGTTCTTCTGTATGTATGTTACGTATGCATGCGTGTATGTATGTATGTGTGTAGATTGGCGTGCATGGTTGTGTGAATGTATACATGCATGCATGTATGATGTTCGTCTGCATGTCTGTATGTATGCATGTGTGCATGCACGAACGTATGCATGCATTCATGTGATCGTGTATGCATGCATGCATGTATGCATGTATATATGTATGTATGTCTGTATGTATGTATGTATGTATGTATGTATGTATGTATGTCGGTGTGTTGCAAAGTAGGTAGGCAGGCTGGTAGGTAGGTAGGTAGGTAGGTAGGTAGGTAGGTTGGTAAGGACGAGCCTTCTGGAGTATCCTTCCGGGTAGCCGGCGCTCTGGGCTGAAGCCCTAGGGGGAGTTTTTTTGGAGAACAATATGAAAAACGGTAGGGTTCAGCACGCCAGGCGCCCTTATGATAAATCAACAGGGGGCGGCGGATCGAAGACGCCTACGGCGAATCACCGCCGCCCCCTGCCATTTTGGAAGCGCCTATGTGGCCGAACGTTGAGGTCAGACATGCCATGCTATCGGACCATGTGTTCCCCGAATCGGTTTGGAAAGCCTTCGGGGAACACGTGGGCATCTTGAAGGTCATCTAGGCCGTCTGGAGGCCATTTTGACCCTTTCGGGCCTTCTTGGAGGACGTCTTGGAGGGCTCTTGGGCCGTCTTGGAGGCCATCTTGAGCGTCTTGGAGACCTCTTGGGCCGTCTTGGGGGCCTCTTGGGGCCGTGTCTTGGGCCTCTTGGGCGATCTTTGGGGGCATTTGGGCCGTCTCGGGCCGTCGGAAGGCAGAACAAACGCAAATGCCACAATCCTTCTTTTTTTTAACAAAAAATTGGAAATCAATTATTTCGGCCTTTTCGGGCCTTCCTGGGGGCCCTCTTGGAGGCCTCTTGGGTCGTCTTGGGCCATCTTGGGGCCATGTTCGGCCGTCTTGGTGGGCTCCTGGTCCGTCTGACGCCGTCGGAAGCCGTTTGGGGGGCCTCTCTGAGCCGACTTGTGGCCCTCTTGGAATGCTCCAGGGCCGTCTTGGAGGTCATCTGGGGCGTCTTAGAGGCCTCCTGTGCCACCTTGGGGGCCTCTTGGGGCCGTCTTGGGGCCCTCTTTGGCCGTTCTTGGGCCATCTTGGAGGCCTCTTGGGCGATCTTTCGGCGATCTTTGGGGGCTCTTGGGCCGTCTCGGGCCGTCGAAAGGCCGAAACGAAGCAAATTTCAAAATCCGTCAAACACCTTAGGATAATCAATGTATTTGGCCTCTTCTGGTGGGTTCCTGGCACGTCTTACACCGTCGGGAGCCGTCTTGGGGGCCTTTCTGGGCCGACTTGGGGCCCTCTTGGGGCGCTTCGGGGCCGTCTTGGGGCCATCTTGGGCGTCTTGGAGGCCATCTTGGGCGTGTTGGAGGCCTCTTGGGCCGTCTTGGGGCCCTCTTGGGGCCGTCTTGGAGGCCACTTTGGCCGTCATGGGGCCCTCTTGGGGGCCTCTTTGGCGATCTTGGGGGCCTCTTGGGCCGTCTTGAGCCGTCGGAATGCCGAGAAGAAGCGAATTCCAAAATCCTTCAAAAACCAAAGGAAAACCAATGATTTTGGCCTCTTCGGGCCCTCCTGGAGGACCTCTTGGAGGCCTCTTGGGCCGTCTTGGAGGCCTCTGAGGGGCCTCTTGGGCAGTCTTGGGCCGTCTTGGACTCTCTTGGGCCGTCTTGGGTACATCTTGGGCCGTCTTGGAGGCATCTTGGAGGCCATCTTGGAGCCGTCTTGGACAGGAAATTAGGGAATTCAGCGCCTTCCGGGTGGCCGGCGGGACGGGCCGAAGCCCCAGGGGGAGTTCTTTTGGAAAAAGAACCTAAACCAAAACCGAAAGGGTCTAGCACGCCAGGCACCCCTGCGATGAATCGACAGGGGGCGGCGGATATGTAGACTTCGGCCAATCCCGCCACCGTGCCTGGGTTGTGGGTCAGAGTCCTCATAGATGCTTCTTGGGGTCTCGGAGCGCTCTCGGGAGCCTCTTAGGGGCAGTTTGGGGGCTTCTCGGGGGCCTCTTGGAGGCAGTTCAGGGGCCTCTTGGGGGCATTTTCGGGGCCTCTTGGGGGCCTCTTCGGGCCTCTTCGGGGCCTCTTGGGGCCTCTTTTTGCGCCTCTTGGGGCCTCCTGGGGGCCCTCGGTGCCGAAGGCTCGGAGTGTTCTCTGGGGTCCCCTATTTGGGCCCCCTCGTGGAGCCGTCTTCGAGGCATCCTGGGCCATCTTGGGCGCCTGTTGGGCCATCATGGTGCTCTCTTGGGCCGTTTCGGGGCCCCCGTGGAGGACTGGGCCGTCTTGGGGCGATCATGGGGTGGGGCCGTTGGGGCCGCCTGGGAGCGTCGGGAAGACGAAAATGGCCAGAACGCCGAAAACTGTCGAACACCTTTTTGGGGAATCGACGATTTGGGCATCTTGGGGCCTTTTTTAGAGGCCTAGGGCCGCGTGGAGGCTTCTTGGAACGTCTGGGGGCGGGGGCCACTTGGAGCGATCGTTCGGCGACTCGGGGCGCTCGACTCTTGGGCCGTCTCGAGGGCCTCTTGAGGTTCTCTTGGCCCATCTTGGAGCCCTCTCGTGCCTAAGCAATCACGCGAGAAGATCCGCCGGACCCCAGGGCGCACGCGAGAAGCCCCGATAGATTTAGCAATTCGAGCTCCGATCGAGGACTGAGGCTCAGGGGAGTGGGCAAAGAACCCAAGGACACGCCCACCCCATGCCCAGCGGCACGGTTACGGATAATATGTGTTTCTCTGTCTCTCTCTCTCTCTCTCTTTCTCTCTTTGTTTCTCTCTCTCTCTCTCGCTCTCTCTCTCTCTCTCTCTCTCTTTCTCTCTCTCTCTCTCTCTCTTTCTCTATATGTGTATGGATATACAAGTTTACACTCGCATTGCTTCTCAACTATAGGTGTGTACGCGTTTACACATACGGAATATGTTTTGATACTGGTATTAATATATTCATAGTTTTGTCGATCGATGGATAGCGTAGACATATCGTGACACTGATACATGCATGGTGTATATATATATGTGTGTATGTATACCTGTATCCATGTATGTAACTTTATTCATGCACACACACATCTGCATATGGTGTCAGTTTAGATCGTGCGATCGATCGATTGATCGATAGAGACTCATTCGACGGATGTAGACAAGTGTCCTAATGGTTGTCCTGTCTCTGGCTCCACCCTCCGAACCTCCTTATCCGATGTGTGTGGTCTTATAGGTAGATTCTAGACACTTCGCGCCACCCCATCCGCCAATCAAGAAACGAGGCCCAGGCGAGTTGTGCTGTCCAGTGATGTGGAGGCGCATGCAGCAGAGTGCAGAGCGGCGGAAGCCATCATACCCTAAGAGGGGGAGGATGGAGGAGGAATCGGATGAGGGGGAGGGGGAGCCTCTTGCCTCTTGGGGGATCGTGGGGGGAGCCTCTTGCCTCGTGGGGGATCTCTGGGAGCCTCTTTGGGGATCGTGGGGGGAGCCCCTTGGGGAAATCCTGGAGGAGTTCTGCCAAGGAAGGGGGGATTCTGATTAGCCTTGCCCGACCCAAATGGACCACAGCCAATGCAATTCAATGAATGTGGCATTCTGGCCGGTGCTTTTTGTGGACGCTTCAATCGGTCGCGCACCCCCCGTCCAGGTCCAGGGGGGGGGGGTAGGGAAAAGAAGGGAGTTGGAAGAGGAAACGCGCTAAACCACTCACGCCCAGAAGAGCTGGTGGGATTTGGTCCGCGGGGGCTGTTTTCGGGCTGTGGGACTATCAAGAACGGACGGGTTAGGAGGGTTTTCCCCACACCCCTACCCCGCAACGAAAACCTTCAGGTGGGGGGGGGTTAGGAGGGTTTCTCCCTGGAATCACCCCAACAACTCCCTTCAAGAAGGGTTTTTGGGGGGTCAGAGGGGTTTTTCTCCCCAGCCCCGGGGCGAAGAACTACCCCCAGGGAAAGCGGTCGGGACCCCTGGGGGCCGCGGCTTTAACAAAACGTGTCGTCGGATGTCAGCGGCACGCGCCGACCACGCACGCCAGCCGAGGTGTCCTGCCGGGTTTCGTGGTATTGCCAAGCGCAACGCTGGGGAGAATAGGAGTAGGCCCAGGCTGGAGAGTTCGCGACAGTGTTCTTCGGACGGGGCTAGGACGAGGATCAATCAGTTCCAATGAGAAGGCCGCGGCGCCCGAGACATCCTCTCAGAGATTCTCGATGTATCCTCACCCGACTCTGTCCTCGTCCTGGCTTGGTCTTCGTTCCGAAGTCGTGCGCAAGTGTTCGAGGGCCGGGGGTGTTTTCCATCAGCTGCGCCTCGCCGAGAGCGTTCTGGGTTTGCACGCGGTCCCGCCCGGCCGCTGGAGGCTCGAGTTGTGAGAGTTTTCCCTTGGATCGGAGGCGGCAAAGGGGGAGGTAATGACTAGGGGGGGGGACATCATGGCGGTGGCCATGGTATTTCCCTAGATTTCATGGCGCTTCTTCTTGTTTCATTATACGTCCCTGGCCCCCCCGCTGGGCCTCGCACATGCCGCCGGCCATGAATTGCACCCCCCCTCTTGGACGACCCCCTCTTGGCCGCCCCCGATTGGAGGTTCCTTTGAAGTTTTCGAGGGGCTTCCGAGAGGCTCCTGGGAGGCTTCTGAGGAGTTTCTTTGGAGGCTTCCGAGCGGTTTCCGGGAGGCGCCGGGCAGATTTCCGAGAGGCTCTCGAACAGGGTTTTGAGAGGCAGCGTTCTTTTTGGAGGTCCCCGAGCATTTCTTGGCAGGTGTCCGGGAGGCGTGCAGTGCTTCTTCCGAGGGAGGCCGCCGAGAGGCGTCCGCGGCAGGCTCCGAGCGGATGCTGAGCCAGAGTGGCTCCTGGCAGGCTTTCTCGCGAGAGCGCGTCGCGGTCTGGGCTGGAGAGCTGCCCTCCTCCAGGGGAGGGGCGGCACGGGAGCGCGAGGGCGCGAGCCGCGCGCTGCGCACTGTGGGGCGCGGCGCGCGAAGGTCCGAGGAGAAACATCGGCCACGCGCGGAGGGGAGGTAGGGGGGAGGGGGGGGGGGGAAGGCCTCTTAGAAGCACCCGTGCTTCTTAGAAGGCGCTGGCATTCTCTATGGACGTGAGGCCCTTCTGAGAAGCAGGGTGCTTCTAGGAAGCCTTCCCCCCTCCCCTTACCCCCTTTGGCGAGCCGCCAAAAACAGGGTGCGGAGGGCGACGCCTGGGCAGGGAGAGCATCACGTCCCCATCCAGAGTGCGGGAGCACGACTACCACGGCAGAGGAGGAGGAGGGGTGGTCCCAGACCCCTTCGGGCCATGAAACAATCACGACGGGATGCTTTTCGCTATTGTTTGGCCTCCGAGGGCCCTCCCCGGGCCTCGGGACCGTCAAAAAACGATTCAGAATGAAGACCAGCCCTGGGAAATGGGTCGAGAACTCTGGGGGTCGACGCTGTGACAAATTCATGACGTCTGGGGTCTGTCGTGGTGGTGGTGGTGGTGTGGGGGTGGGGGGGGAATCTTTTGGTCCTGGGAGCCAGGACGCGGCACCCCTCACCCAGCCCCCGCCACGAACCACCGTAAGGGGTCTCTTGCTCGGGGTGGGGGGCAGTGCCTTTTTGTGCCACCAAAAGGCCTGAGCTTCATCAAGATCCCGGGAATTCTGCAGGCGCAGCCGTGCTCCCTCTCTCGCTTCTCCTGCTGGCTGCTAGCTGCCCATCCTCATCCCGCTTCGCCTTGTCCTCAGCCCTCCTTTGTCTCCCCCATCCCTTCTTCGCCGTCTTCTCTTCGTCCTGCTCCCTGTTACCCAGGCCTCTGATCTCTTGACGACTGTTCATGCTGGATCATCGGTTGACGGTCCTGGGGCACAGCGAGGGACCCCCAGACGCCAAAAAGGACGAACCCACATTCCGTCTTGATGTTTGCCATCCGTTGGAGGCCTGGGCATTGCTCATCCTATAACTTTGAAGGTGCAGCCGTACTTCCAGATCAAGTTCGACTTCAACATCAAGAAGCTCCTCAGCGCCATTTCCATGCGCGTGAGGGGGGCAGACCCGAACGGCCTCAGCTCGGCCTCCGTGCTGCAGCACTACCGCTCCCGGCAGGAGAAGTGCCTTAAGTGCGTGAGGAGCGGGGCGGGGAGAAGCTTGGGAGGAGGATGAGAGGGAGGAGGAGGAGGAGGAGGAGGAGGAGGAGGAGGAGGAGGAGGAGGAGGAGGAGGAGAACCAGCGCAAACCCAAGAGTCATCAACGATGTTGGAATTAACCCTCCCTCCAAGCTCCCTCTTCATAGGCCCCTACAACGGTGCATTTCCATTGAGGGAACTGCCTCGTCTGAAGAAAACCGTTTGAAGATCCCAAAGCATGCCAAAACATTGTTCTCGGGATTTCAACGCCACGTATCAACCTGACTGCTGCGCCTTGACGATCCAGAATCGTGCCAGAGCGCCATTGTTGGGATCTCAGCACCGCGAACCAACATAATTGTTGCACCCGCATAATCCTGAACCCTGCCACAACACAATTGCTGGTACGTTGGTCATGGGAATCCGTGAAACTCCTACAAAGTTTGAAAACGAATGTGCGCGGCGCTAAAGCGAGAGCCACCTGTTGAAAAGGACCCGCCCTCAATCCGTGGAACTCTTGCAAATAAGACGAATGCGCGCGGCGCGAAGGCGAGAGCCACTTGTTGAAAACGGCCCGCCCTCAATCCGTGGAAGTCTTGCAAATGTGTAAAGCGAGTGTGCGCGGCGCTAAGGTGAGAGCCACATTTTGCAAACGGCCTGCCCTCAATCTGTGAAATTGCTGCCACTTTTTTATGCTTCAGGGTCAAAAGTGGTGAGGATGTCCCAGGCGGAACGCCCGGCCCGCCCTAGATATTGGCCTCGGGGTGCGACAGGGATAAGTTATCTACAAGGAGAAGGAATGGAGAAGGAATGGAGGAGGACCAGGAGGAGGAGGAGGAGGAGGAGGAGGAGGAGGAGGAGCAGGAGGAGCAGGAGGAGGAGGGAGAGGGAGGAGGCGGGGCGGGAGGGAGGAGGAGGAGGGAGGAGGGAGGGAGGGAGTAGGATGAGGATGAGGAGGAGGGGGGAGGGAAGGAGGGAGGAGGGAAGAGGGAGCAGGACGAGGATGAGGTGGAGGACGGGGGGAGGAGGGAGGCTCGACGAAGGCTTCGCTCAGGGCGTGCTCGGTACCGACCTGGCTGCCACAGGTGGAAGGCACCATTGATTCGGAGTCATGCCAATTGCGCCACCGCCGTGGGACAGCTCAAAGGTCAAAAAGGAAGATCAGACCCCTAACCTCGAGCCCCAGGAGGTCGAGGGGAGGAAGCACAGAATGAGCCCTGCAGCAGCCGCACCCGGCGCTGTCCAGGGCACCCGGAGAGCCTCAGGGCCGGCCTTACGCCCCTGGAAACGACGACGAGACGAGCAACGTCGGGAGCCTCTCGAATTGGTTGTCGCAATCAGCTGGCCAGGAAGCGTCGAAACTAAGCAATCGTTGTCGCAAGTCTTCTGGATCTGCTCCAAAAGACACGCCAGCATCCTGCTCGTTGGAAGCGGTAAGCTCTTGCAAGCTGTCGACAATACTGGAGGCGATAGCCTTGGACAATCCTGAACTGTAGGTTTTCCTTGCTGGGATACGGTTGTGATATCGCCATCGGCAGTCTTGCCAAGGAGGGCTTTTTGGGCCCCATTTGGCGTGAGAACACCGTCCCCCTGTAGGGGGGGTCACGGATGTGGGAGAAGAGGAGGATAAACGGAAGCCGTGGATGCCGGTGGGGGCTCTGCCAACTGTGTCCCAGGCCGCATCGAGCACATGAATGAGGAGCCGAGGCGAGAGCGGTAATAGGCTGCCAGCGAGGCGATGTAGAAGCCCCCGCGATCCACGTCGCTGGCACAGGGTGCTCTGCCCAACCACTGGTGCCCGCGGCCAGGGGGGCCGCGAGCGGCTGAGCGAGCGCCTGCAAACATTGGGACCGTATTGAGAGCCAGAGGCCCTGGCAGGCCGTGCACCAGCGGACTCCCCCAAACATGCTCCTGGGTCCTAATGGGGTGTGGAGAGGGTCACCTTCGCACCACCGCGCAGCACTCCAAGGCTCGCAAGGCCCCCCCCTTGAGTTGAGCACCCTCCTTGCCCGATCGCGTCCTATCCATTTTTGGATCGCCTGGCTTCTGGTGAGATCGCCGCGCTCAGAGTCTAAGGCAATGCTAACCGACAAAAAATGCACAATACATTCAAAACGGGTCCAGGCGAATTCGAGGTGGGACTGGATGTCACCTGAGCGGCGCCTTTAGGAAGTTAAGTATGACAAGCTCTAGCCTTTTGATTTGGAAGGGCAATGCAGCCCCCGCGGTCCCAGAAGAGTCCTGAGGCCGAAAGGGCCAAAAACTGTCATCAGGAGGGGTGGAATCGCGTGTTAACACCACATAGAGGGGTTCTTGGGGACCTCCGCGATTTGGTCAATGCGGACGTGATGCATCGGACGAGTGGGAAGGAGGGAGGATCGAGGATGAAGGATCGAGGAGGAGGAGTCGGCGGAGGAGGAGGAGGAGGAGGAGGAGACGGAGGAGAAGGAGGAGGAGGAGGAGGAGGGGGAGGAGAGCCCGGGCCCTGGGCGTTTTCTCACGGTCCCTGGGCCTGGCGAGGGCCCCCAAGGCCCAGACCTTCCCGTCGTGCTTCTGTTTCCAGCACGCGAGGAGGCGTAGGTGTGGAGGAAACAGCTAGGCACGCGAGGAGGCGTGGGGTGGAGGCAACAAGATCACGTCGTCGAAGGCTTGGGGAGGTAGGTGAGAGTTCGGACGGGGCTGGGACGAGGACGAATGCGTTCCAGAGCGTTCAGCAGCGCTCTCAGAGCGCTTTTTGAACGCTATGAGAAAGCCGCGGCGCCAGAGACATCCTCCAGAGCTGCTGGATCTCCGGGATTCTCGAGTTATCCTTGCCCGATGTTATCCTCGTCTTGGCATCTTACTATGGAGGAGGATCAGCGGATGAACTTGGAGGAAGAGATATGGCCACCGCCCCTACCCTCGCACCTCGTGCCCGACCTGCTTGTTTGCGGGGGGTGCTGTGCAAGTATCTTGCCCCCAGGGGATGCCATTTTTTGTACACGGCCACCGCTGCGCGGTCTTGTGCCAAACCAGCTTGTTTGGGGAGGGTGCGCGAAAGCCGCGCTCCCGAACCTTCTAAACCAGCCCTAAACCCTAAACCCTAATCCTACACCTTACACCATAAACCCTACACCCCAAACTCTAAACCATAAGCCCTAGCTCTAAACCTTACACCCTAAACCAATCCGAAACCCTAAACCCTCAACCTTGGCAGAAAAAAAGTTTCACGCGTTGGCGCACAAGCGCCACCGGGTGAAGCACTTCAGCACATAAAGAAAAGAAAACAATTGATAAGCGAGCACAGCACCACCAGGTGAAGCAGTTCACCGTCGCAGTTACTCAGAAGTGCCACTCCCTGGCTACCCGCTAAGCGCGCCCGCAAGCACATTCAATATGCCTTTTCCCAGACGCCCGCAAGCACCTCTCAAGTACGTTGCCCCGGCTGCCCGCAGGCACCCCCCTAGTGCCTGTCCCAAGCGCCCGCATGCACCTCCCAAGTGCCGTTCCTGGGCTGCCCGCAGGCACCTCCAGAGTGCCTTTCCTGGGCTGCCTGCAGGCACCTCTCAAGTGCCTTTCCTGGGCTGTCGGCGCGCACCTCACAAATGCCTTTCCCAGGCGCCCGCATGCACCTCCCCGGTGCCTTGGTTGGGATACCCGCAGACACCTCCCAAGTGCATTTCCCAGGTCCCCGCAGGCACCTCCCAAGTACCCTTGGGCCCTTGGCTACCCGCAGGCACTTCCCAAGTGCTTTTCCAAGGTGCCCGCAGGCACCTTACGAGTGTCTTTCCCAGGCGCCCGCAGGCACCTCCCAGATGAGTGCAGCTTCCTTCCGCCTCTGGCGCCCTGCCCGCACCCACCCGGAGGAGCGGGCAGGCCTTCTGCGACCGCGAGCGCCCGGCGGAGTCCATGCTCGCGGGCGGCCTCTCGGACGACATGGACGACTGCGAGGACGACGTCCTGCTCCTCCTCCTCTCCTCCTCCTCCTCCTTCCTCCTCCCCTCCTCCTCCTCCTCCTCCTCCTCCTCCTCCTCCTCCTCCTCCTCCTCCTCCTCCTCCTCCTCAGATCCAGACCCCCTCGGGTCATGAACAAATCACGACGCAAGGTTTTTCCCTATGCGTATGTTCGACCTTTCTTTGGGGGCCTCACCAGGCCTCGAGACCGTCAAACAACGGCTAAGGATGAAAAGCTGGTCCTGGGGAATGGGTCCAAACCGCCGGGGGTCGGCGCTGTGAACAAAATCATGACGTCGGGGGTCTGGGAAATGGTACCCATACCGCTACCCTTCCCTCGTTGTCCCTCTTTTTGGGCCTCCCGGGAGGCCCTCGCTTCCACCGCTGGATTCGCCTCGAGATTCTGGTCAGGACGCGCCCCGGGAGAGGTCCAGGGAGTAGCGGTATCGGCGATCAGCACCTTTTGGTTTCCCCCCATCCTCTGGCTACTCCTCGTCCTTCTCGTCCCGCCTCCCTCTTCTCCCCCTCCAGGCCTCCGGCGTCTTCCACAGAAGTCTGGGCGGATGTCTTGTTCGGCCTCCAGGGGCCCTCGCCAGGGCCTGGGACCGCCCAAACACAAAGCAGGGCGAAAAGCCGGCCCTGGGAAAGTGACGGGCCTTCTTGGGATCCCGTATAGAAAGAAATTAGACGTCGAACGTTTGGGTCCTCCTCGTCCTTCTCCCGCCTGCCTCCTCCTGCTTCCTCCCTTCTCCTCTTTCTCTTTCGCTAGCACCTCATGAGATTTCCGTACGCCCTCGAAACGCGGCCTCGGTCTCTAGAATGCACTAGCGTGTAGTCGCGTTTGGTCATCGATGAGACAGCGCCGATTTGGCGACGATCAGCGTCGATTTGGTGTTGATGCGGCGTCGATTAGGGGTCAGTTCGCGTCTGCTAGCGTCGATTAGCGTTGATTCGCTAGAGCCAGCAAGATGACATTCGAGGCTCCCACGAGTTGCCACAGAATTCTCCCTCCCTCTTCTCCTCTCCGACCCGAAACATAGACAGAACATCAACGTTCGGCGGTCCGCCTGGATTGCTTCGACCTGCACTGGGCCTTCCAGGCGGCGCCTCCAGCGCCGCCCCTGGGGCCCTCCGCGCGCCAGGGAGGGAGGCCCATCTTCCGTGTCCTCCCGTGTCCATCCGCTTCCTCATTCCCCCGCGCTTCCCGTCTCATCCTGCCAGGAGCCTGCTTCCGTAAGGTCTGGGCGATCACGGCCGTGATCGGCCCTCTCCCCCCCCCCGGATCACGTCAGGGAGTTCCGCCCACATGTGCAAAGGTGTATTACGGATCCTTCGAGGATTTCCCATGCTTTTTGGCAGCTGCCCCCCGTGATGTGATCGGGGGGGGCGAACTCCCCCCCACCCTTCTCCATCGATCACGCCCGTCATCTCGAATGATAGAAACATAAAGCTCTAGCCCTCCTCATATTCGTCCTGCTTCCTTGCTCGGGAGGCTTGCGCCTCCCCGCCGATTCCCCAGAAGAGGAGATGTGCGGCCTCTGGCCGGGGCTTCATGGGGGGCCTCTTGGAGGCTTCGTGAGCACAGCTCCTCGGAGCTTTTGGGGGGGTTCGGGAGTTCTCCGTCTGAGGCCTCTTTCGGCCCTTTCGGGGCCCCTCCTGCAGCCGTCTTGGGTGCCTCTTGGGCAATCTTTTGGGCCTCTTGGGGTCCTCTGGAGGACTTCTTGGTCCGGCTTGGGCCAACTTGGGCCGGTGTGGAGGGGCCTCGTGCGTCGCCGGTGGCTCCTTGGGCCGTGGCGCGGTTTGGGGTGTTTTTCTTGATCTTGCGGAGGGGTTCCCGTTTAGTGTTCCCCTGGGATGGTCTGGGGAGGTACCCCCGGGACATTGCCCCGGCCACGCGGCGAACGCTGGCGGAAGACGGCCCCATTTCGGCAGACGCGCTTGCGTGCGGCACGGGCGGCCTCAAGATGGTCCGCAAGATGGTCCAAGAGGGCCACGAGTCGCCAGCAGGTCGATCCAGGCCGTCCAAGATGGCTTCCTGACGGGCCCGGAAGCCACCAAGCCGCCCCATAAGGCCTCCAAGAGGCCCTCCAAGGTTTTTCGCGTTTTCGCCTTTTCGGTTTCCCGATGTTTCAAGAAGGCCCAAGAGGCCCTACAGATCGCCCCAAGACGGCCTACGAGCCGCCCCCAAGAGAGCGCACAGACGGCCCAAGACGCCTCCAAGACGGCCCAAGAGGCCTCCAAGAAGGCTTGAGAAAGCCCCAGGAACGCCCCAAGAGGGGCCCCAGAGGGGGAGCACGGACCGGCATTGTGGGCTCTTCGCCCAAAAACCGCAAGAGGCCCCCAAGAGGCCCCAAGGAGCTTCCAAGAGGTCCCCAGGAAGCCCCCAGAGACCCCCAAGAGGGCCCAAGACTGCATAAGACGACCCCGTCGGAGACGCCCCAGGGCCCGAAGGCTGCCCAACAGGGCTCCAAGATGGTCGGAGACGCCCCGACAAAGTGGAACGGCGTCAAACGGACAGCACGGGAACCAGCATAATGCGCTTCGAAGCGGCACAGCGTCAAACGGACAACTCGGGAATCAGCATCATGCACCCTATAGGCATCCACTTTTTTGTTTTTCTCTTCCTCGCAAGTCACGCCCTTTTGTCCTCCAAGGTCGGGGTTCGTGGCTACTCTCTGGCATGCTGGAGCCCTTCTTGGGCCATTTCAGAAGCCATCTGCGGCCGAGCATCTGATTCAGACATCTCCTCCCGAAAAATTGGGTCATCGTTTCTTAACCAACTTGTCGGGAAGCTGGCCCAGTTTCTTGAGCTCCTTCGCCCCTCCAACGTTGACGGCACGCGACGTCTGGGCAGCTGGCCCAGAGTTCTTACATGATAACGTCCTTGATCATGTTTTCGGCTGTATGGCATCTTGGAGGCCAAGCAGAATGTATCTAGAGGTCCGGAGGGCCCCAGAAGTGCGCTGACGAGCTCGTCCCCACCACCCCACCACTACTTTGGGGCAGCGAGACAGCCAACCATCTCACATGGGGTGTCGGCAGATTCACCTGCCTCCTCCCCCTCCGGCCACTCCCTGTGCTCGTCCTCCTGCCTCCTCCTCCTGCTGCTGGACAGGACCGCACCACTGCGAGAAAGAATGCCTGCCGGAGATTCGAGTGGCCTCACGGGGCGATCAAGGACCCAGAGCGGAGGAGGAGGAGGAGGAAGAGGTGGAGGAAGACACGGACTAGGAGGAGTAGGAGGATGGGGAGGGAACATTGTAGGAGGAAGAAGAGGAGGAGGGGGAGGAGGAGGAGGAGGAGGAGGAGGGAGAGGAGGAGGGGCGAGGAGTAGAAGAAGGTGGAAGAGTTGGGGCGGGGAAGTTCTAGAAGCTAGGAGTTGAGGATGGGGATGTGGAGGAGGACGACGACGATGATGGAGGTTGGAGGAGGTAGGGATGTGGTGGATGGGAGAGGATGATGGACATGTCGTGGAGGCAAAGGAGGAGGAGATGCCAGGACGCGGGGCCTAGGCCTGGGAAGGTGTTCGAGAATCAGGTCGGCCCCTGCTTCGACCGCGTGACCGGGCAGAGCATCAATCCAAGGTGGATGAGCAGAGGGAGAGAAAGAGAGAGAGAGAGAGAGACACAAACACACACACACACACACTCACAGACACATACTGACACACACACACACACAAACACACACACACACACACACTCACAGACACATACTGACACACACCCACACAAACACACACACACGCACACAAACACACACACACGCACACACACAAACACACACGCGCACACACAAACACACACACACACACACGCACGCATGCACGCACGCACGCACGCAGAAAGAGAGAGAGAGAGAAGTAATAATTATATATAGAGAGAGATGGATTCCTCCTTCCAGATTTCCAACGACACGATGTCTCCAACCGCCGCTTGTTCCTCAGACTTTCGCCCTCAGGGGCCGTTGTCGGGCCCATGAACAATCAGCATGACATGGATCCGGCGAGCGGCGGCGGGCCGGCCGCGCGGCGAGGCGACCTCCTTTGCCCGGCCTTGAGGAGGGGCTCACGTTCAGTTGCCCCCTGGGGGGATCTGGGGAGGGGTACCCCCCGAAATCTGACTCTCAGGGACAAAGATAGGGGGGATATGCATAGGGGGGGACGCATCGACCCCCAATCGCCCATTGATCGCCGATAGGTGTCCGAGAGCCCCAACCTCCCCAGGAACGTGCGGATTCACTATCGGAGGCCTATCGCCGATGTATCGGCGACGTATCGCCGATTCCAGCTCGATGCTTCCCCCCCTATCCCTATCCCCCCCTATCGTTGCCCCTCAGACTCTGGCCACGCGCGGAACGCCTGCGGAAGTCGGCGGAAGTCCAGCCGAAGACGGCCAAAGACGGGCAGGTACGGCCTCGGGCAGCGTCGAGGCGACCCGAGAGCGTTCCAAGAGGGCCCACAGCGACTCGGAAGCGTTCCAAGAGGGCTCAAGCTAGCCTCAAGACGGCCGCAGAGGTCCCCAAGACGCCGCGAGAGGCCGCCAAGAGTACCCCAAACCAAGACAGCCTCAGAGGCCCCCGATATCGCCCCAAGACGGCCCAATACGCCCCCAAGAGGCCCCCAAGAGCGCCCCAAGTTGCCCCAGGGGATCCCTCACAGATACCCAAGACGACCCAAGAGGGGCACCGGCGGGCCCAAAAATCCTCCTAAGAGAGCCCCAAGAGCGCCATGGGTGGCACCACCAAGGGCCCCAAGACCGCCCAAGCACTCCAAGACGGCCTGAGAGAGCCCCGAACCTCCCGAAAAGGGCCCCAAGACTGCCCTCGAGGGCCTCCCAACGGACCCCCGCGAAGGGCTGCAGAGACTGACCCCTGGAGAGCTCTGCAGCTGTCTTGACGACGCGCGTCCTGCGGTGGCTCGCGTGGCAGCGTGCTGAGCTGACCTCGTGGGTCGCTTGGTACTGTGACCACCTTACCCTGTCATCGGCGAGCTCTGTCTTCCCTTACCATCGCTGGCGGACTACACCTGCAGGTGGCTCGCATGGTAGCGTAATGAGCTCACCTTGTGGCTCGCTTGGTAATGTGATCACCTCGCCCCGTGATCGGCCACCTCTTTCCTCCCTTTCCCTCGCTGGCGGACGGTCATTCATTGTCCCTGGGTCCGCTGTCGTCGTCCCCCACGCGACCACCCCGCGACCCACCCGCGACCCACCCGCGGCCCTCCCGCGACGCATCCGCGACCCACCCGCGACCCACTCCACGACCCACCCGCGACCCACCGCCGACCAACCTGCCGCGACACACTGGCCGCGATCTACCAGTGACCCCCGCGACCCACCCCGTGACCCACCCGCTACGATTCACCCGCGACCCGCCCGCGCCCGCCCCCTCACTCTTATCCACAATTGCGGGGTGCTACATAGCGTAAGCACAGGTGGCTCGCATGGTAGCGTGCTAAGCTCGCCTTGTGGCTCGCTTGGTAATGTGTTCACCTGACCCCGTGATTGGCGAGCTCTTTTCCTCTCCTCCCCTGTCCGTGCCTCCTGGGCTCACAGGGCCGCGTGCTGAGCTCACCCCGTCGTCGACGTCCTCTTTGTCTCACTTTCTCTCTCCGTGCCTGCTTCGTCTCTTCGGCACACCCCGTCGAGACGACGACCAGCGCTTGCTCTGTGACGGCTGACCTGGCTCACGTCCAGAGAGCCTCCCGCCCTTCGCAATGACGTGGCCTCTTACGGTGGCACGTGACACCGCAGGCGGCTCGCACCGCAGAGTGTTGAGTTCGCTTGGTGGCTCGCATGGTGCCTTCCCTCCCGTGTGCCTGCTTGCCTCGCACTGCCGCGTGCTCAGCTTACCCCGTCGTCGGTGTCCTCTGGTTCTCCCCTTTCCCTCTCCGTGCCACCGCCCCTTGTTCGGAATACTCTGTCGAGGCGACGCAAAGTCCTCGTGTTGTGACGCTTCAGCCCCAGAGGGCCGCCCGCCGTTCGCAACGACGCGGCCTCTTACAATGGCACGTGCCACCGCAGGTGGCTCGAATGGTAACGTGCTATGCTCAGCTGGTGGCTCGCATGGTACTGCGCTGAGTCGGTGCACCTTGTCGTCGACATGCTCTCTTTCTCCCTCTCCCTCTCCGCGCCTCCGTAGCCAGCGAGCTCTCTTTATTCTTCTCCGTGTCCTCCTTCAACCAGCTTTTCTATGAGCCCGCCCATCCGTTGTCGTCTGGCTCAGCCCACACGCCCGCTTCTTCCCTCCAGGCCCCATGGCTACGCCTACGAAGTGGCCCCGCACACGCACCTCGGATTTCATTCCCACACGGGTAGCGATTTACGGAGATGGCCAGGGTGCTTCACTGACATCGGGATTCCAAGGCTGGAAGCCATTCAAGAAGCAACGCCAAGGCACCTCCGACATCACGATCGAAGATTGATGCGTCACCATTGGGGTGCCTTTCAAAGGGTACCGAATTGACCTACGTTCGGAGTGCGTCCAACAGATTCTGACTGCCGCGCGCCCGCTTGTCCGCAGCTCCCCCACAGAACTGCCCACCCCCACCAGGTGGCCTCGAACACTCACCTCCAGTTTCATTCGCAAGTGGATTGCGGAGCATGCAGTTGCCTGGGAAGCGTCACTGGAATCGGGACTACAAGCTTAGAAGCCATTGAAAAGGCAACGGCAGGGCACCTCCGGCATCACGCTCGAAACTTCGAATTTTGAGGTCACGGAAGATGGGCATGTTTTCACAGCACGGCCCCGCGGCGCACCCTATGGCGATACCAACGCCTACAGCGCAGCTGCATATTTTCCCTGACCTTGAGGGGCCCCCGTTTAGTATCCCCCTCGGGGGGTCGGAGTCTGAGAGGTACATCTGGCCCCGGCCACGGGTAGAGCGCCGGCGAAAACCAGCGGAAATCTAGCCAGCAATTTGGCGGACGCGCCTCCGGGCGGCGCGGGCGGCCCCAAGATGGTCCACAAGATGGTCCAAGAGAGCCAAGGGTCGTCGGCTGATCGGTCCAGTCCGTCCAAGATGGCCTCCAGACGGCCCAGAAAGCCCCCAGGATGCCCCAGGAGGCCTCCAAGAGGCCCTCCTAGAGAGCCCCAAGGGAGCCCTGGGGGGGTCTGGGGGACGCCCTCTGGGACATGGCCCCGGCCACGGGCGGAACGCCGGCGGAAGACTGCCGCTGTCGGCCCCATTTCGGCAGACGCGTTTCCGGGCGGCCCGGACGGCCACAAGATGGTCCGCAGGATGGTCCAAGAGGGCCAAGGGTCGCCGACTGATCGGTCCAGACTGGCGCGAACTACTTCCAAACGTCACGAGAAGTTCCAAAACGGCCCAGGAAACCTCCAAGAGGCCTCCCAAGACAGCCCCGACTCCCTCTGCACGTGAATCAGGCTGACTCTGGCCTTCATCCACACGATCGAGAGCTAGAAGGCGCAGCGGCCTGCCAGGATGTCGTAGTACGGCTGCAGAGTCTGCATCTTGTACCTGAGGATGCGTGAAGATAAATGACGTATATGATGGTGATGTTCAACCCAATCAGCTTGAGAGACACCTTCTAGGGGATCCCAGCACGCACAAAACCACCCATTGAGTAGTAAGGCTGCCCGCTTTGAATCAGGCACCAACCGTGGTAAGGTATGCGGGTGGATTTGCATCCGTGACCGCTGTTCTTCTGTGCTCCTGCACTCCCACAGGAGGTGGCGAGTGGTGGCCAGAACGCCACACGTCTCGCAATCATGAGGCACATCAGGATATACATGGTGAAGTCTATTTGGGCTGGGTTTTGCCCCAACCGCGCACGGCCATGCCCACGTGCGTTGTAGCTTAGGCTGCTGGTCCACGAAATTCCGGAGGGTCTTGACCTCCAGGCTCGGCAAGTCCACCCGCTTCTTGCGAACCGTGGTGGTGCTGGCGTCCCTCATCATGAAGCTGCGCCACGCCTCGCGGACATAGTGGTCGAGCTTGCCCTTGGACATTGAGAAGGTGAACGGCGCCCCTGCGAAGGTCGGCGCGTACGGATCGTCGTTGGCGCACTGCCAGCCCATGCTGTCGAACGTGGTGCGCATGCGGCCAATCCAATTCTCGAGGAGCGGGGGCCCTCCGGCTATCGACCGCCATGCCCGCCGGATGAGCGGCTGCAAGGGGCCATTCTTCGTGCAGCGCAAGAGGCTGATGAAGCTGGAGAAGATGACGCCCACGGGTTCGATCAACCACCCCTTGTCGAGGAGGCACCAGGTGGCGCCCCGGTGTCGCCAGGTGGCTTGTCGTTGACGGCCGAGGAGGGTGTGCTCGACGCGAGTGCGCAAGGAGCTGACGTCCGTTGCCTTCATGGAGCACCACGGCCCGTCCCAGCGAAGAAGGCTCATGGTGAAGAGAACGATTCTGAAGACCAGGGAGATGGCCAACTGAGCTCCGCCACGCACGCGGCGGATCCTGCCCAAGCGGCTGTAGAGCTCCTTCCTGCGTCGGGCTGCCCGCGGGGCCTCCGAAGGCGGAGCCGTGCCTGTGAGGTCAAAGCGGACGCCGAGGAGGTCCAGGTGCCCCTGGATGGGCTTGCCGGCCCTCTCGCGCTCCTGCATGTCCTGGGGA